GTGCATCACCCAAGCAGTGAAGAGCCTGCAGTGAGGGGAGGGGGAGCAGCTGTCCCTTGAGAGGCCCGTGAGGACATCAGCGTCTTCACGGAGCTACTGAAGTTTTTTAGAATAAGAAAGTGTTGGGCTGTGATGAAAAATAGAGGGGATGGTGTTAATGATGACCAGAGGGACCCAGAATATAGAGGAGGACTTCAAAAAGTGAGAAATGAGACAGAGGAGGGGACGGACAGAGACATAGGGAAGTTAGAACTCCGGTTTTTCCTGATCACCCAGTGTCTTGGCCACCTTTTGGTGATTGTAGTAGAAACAAGGATGGAGGGTCCAGTGGGCTCCGTCTCCATAGCAAAAACTATGATCAGGTTTGTGAGATGGAAGGAAGCAAATTGTGGCCCTTGTTCTAGACACGGATTTGATAATTTTCCCATCTGATTTCCCTTTATGCTAAAAATCATCTTGACTTGGAAGTGAGGGAAAAAAAGTTAATGATCTGTTTTGCTCATAACCTTTGTGTTGTTTTTCACTTTGACTTGCATCAGCATAGGGAGGCTGTGGCTGTAGCCCCAGGGAGGGAGGCTGTGGCTGTCACCCCAGGGAGGGAGGCTGTGGCTGTCACCCCAGGGAGGGAGGCTGTGGCTGTCGCCCCAGGGAGGGAGGCTGTGGCTGTCGCCCCAGGGAGGGAGGCTGTGGCTGTAGCCCCAGGGAGGGAGGCTGTGGCTGTCACCCCAGGTAGGGAGGCTGTGGCTGTCACCCCAGGGAGGGAGGCTGTGGCTGTAGCCCCAGGGAGGGAGGCTGTGGCTGTAGCCCCAGGGAGGGAGGCTGTGGCTGTAGCCCCAGGGAGGGAGGCTGTGGCTTCACCCCAGGGAGGGAGGCTGTGGCTGTTGCCCCACGATGTTTGCTGTGGAAAAAAAGCCATTAAATTTTTCTTATCTGTCAAATGTGTCTAGCCATTTCCTCCTTTAACAACTGCATTGGAAATTTGCACTAATTAAATGTTACAATAATGCAGAAAACTTTATTTAACACATCACACAGTGCTTAATAGAAGTGCTTAGTAAGTATAATTTGCTATTAAGTGGTAAAGGCTGGATTTTCAGCTGCCATTTGGCTCCCTTCTTTTTTGTTGTAGTTGTGAGCTTTGGATTGGTTTTTGCTCCCTTATTCCTACTGTTAGTGTGATGGCTCTACAGCTCTCAGTTCTCTTGTCCCTTTCTCTCCGTTCTCTCACATTGCCACCGTTGTGTCTTCCCCCTGCCTATTCCTTGTGATTTGGCCTCTGTTCTTATTTCAGCTTTCTTTGTGGCATCATATTGTAGGGAACTCTCAAATGGGAGTGAGACACCCCTCATTGCATGCATTTGAATAGGTGGGAACAGGGTCTTGGGTACTCCAGATGAGGTCTGGTAAAGAGGCTCAGGAAACCTTCATTACAGGCAAAGATTAGCCACTCTGACATGTGTGAGAGTGACATCGGGCAGAGCAGACTATGAAGGTGGTAATCATTTGAACAGGAAGGGGCTGGGCCACATAAAATTGTAGAGAGACAAGTAGAGACATGTTCTAGTTCCATGACAGCACCCATCTTTGCTATCACTGTTACCACTCTGGTTGAGAACAGTGGCCTTCTGCATCAGCGCCTTCTGTGGGACAGGCTTTTGGAGGGGGTACTGAGCAGGGCAGAGTAGAGTTCTTCAGCCATAGATGTGTCTACCATAGATTCTGCATGCACAGATTCACTGACTGGATTGCATGTATTGGAAACACAAGTCTATGCTAAACAAGTTCAGACTTTTGTTGTTATTCCCTGCTCAGCACAGTATGAGGGCTCTCTTTTTTTCAGCATTGACATTTACATTAGGGATTATAAGTCATCTATATATAATTTAACAGGGATATCTAGCCTTTTGACATTGTGACATGAAATTGCCATTTACACATGTGTGTGTGGCCTGCGTTCATAGTTGTCTTGGGGCCATGTGACCAGGCCTGGTCTAAAATATCTAGGCAGGTACTAGAGAGGTGGCTCAGTGGTTAAGAGCATATGCCCTGTTCTTTCAGAGGACCCAGGTTCAGTTCCCAGGACCCACATTGGGCAGCTCACAGCCAATGTAACTTTGTTTCTAGAAGCCTGGTGCCCTCCTGGCCTCTTTGGCACTGCACGTATACACTCAGGCACACACATATACACCTAAAATAAATAAATGTATTATTAATTAAAGGGGTCTGGAGAGATAGTTAAGTGGCTACGAGCACTGTTTGCTCTTCCAGAGGACTCAGGTTCAATTCCCAGAACCCACATGGAGCTCAAACCACATATAACTCCAGTTCCAGGGGATCATATGACCTCTCTGACTTCTGTGGATACTGCATGCTCATGGCACACAGACATACATGCAGGCAAACCACCCATACACATGAAGTAAAAGGAAAATTAAAAAGTGGAATAGAATCCCCCTAACCCTAAAATGTCTAGGCAGATGTTTATATACAAGGGCTGAATTACTTTTTTGCTAGGGACTTGAACATCTTCAGATTTTGGAATGTGGTAGTGGGATCTTGGAATCAACCTCCCCCCGCACCCAAAAGAAACTGAGTAAAAACTGAATGTATACTGCCTGAGATTATCTATTTGAGGACAGCATGCATGCATTTGAATCCTGCCTCCACAATGAGATGTAAGTTATCTTACCTTTCTGGGCTCCAGTTTCTTATCTGAAAAACAGATAGTTGAGGCAGTATAGTTAATAGTTTACAAAATGTTTCTGTCATAGTAGTTCTTGTCTCTCATGAAGCACTATATAAATTATATATCTATCTTAGAACACCATAATTCTTTCCTTTTATTTGATCCCAAGAAATTGAGTGGAGTGGTTAGGTGACTTGCCCAAAGACATAGGCATGTTGAGTAACAGAGTCAAATCTCGAACACAGACATAGCAAGCTTGAATGGCGTATCTTAAAGCCAGTGTGCTCAGCCACCTACCAGGACATGCAGGTAGATGCTTTGCTTTCTCAGAGGGCTCTACAGGAGGCATGGGCAAATGGGTACAGGGTACAGGTGGGCAGCGGAATCACATGGCAATTCACAGTGACTGTTGGACACACAACCTTGATTTGGTTTTGTGTTCCATACTATGGGATAGTAGCCTGACTTCAGGCTCATTTTGGAGAGTGGTCAGTGTTAGGACTTTACCCAGAGAGTCAAACCATCCTGGGATTCCTTGTCTCGTTTTAGGTGACTTCATTGAAATAATTGTTACCCCTACCCTCCAACCCCTCATTTGCCTCTGTGCCTTAGGTTCCTTATCTATCAAAGGTGAGAGATTGAATAGCACTTTGTATAAAAATATTTGAAAAGCATAAATAATACCCCAAATTAAAACCACTATAATCATTCTTAACCATATCAATTAGATTCACATTGGAGTCTCTTAGGCTGCCATACCAGCCTTCTGCTAGTGATGCTGTGTGACAGATGGCATAACCAGCTGTGGCATGTTCTGCAGACTGGTTTGTAACCTTGTTTCCTTTTCTGGGTTTAGACATTCCTCTGTGACCATAAAGTAGTAGCTGTGTATAATCTCGGCCCCTGGGAAATTTTCCTTCAGTGTGGAATTCTGTAGTCAAGACCCATTGTCTGTGTCCAGGGTCGATAGTTGGCCCTGCTACCATTCTGGGAATGCTGCCAAGTCTTGGTTTCAGCTCCTGGCACAAGGCAACCTTGGGCTCATGTGCTTTAGTTCCTATAACTGTTTCCTCTCATTAGCACACAGACTTGATTCTGCGCTTACACTGAAGGGAACAGGGAAGCAGCTGACACCTTCTCTGGAATTCTTGTCTCGTGGGCTTGCCTTGGTGTCTGTGTGTATTGTGTGTGGGTGTGTGTAGGTATGCGCGCCAGGGCTTGAGACTTTGCCTTGAATGAACCACCTGGCAATTTTTTTTTCTCCAGAGTTAGTAGTCCAGCACTGAGTTTTATTTTATGTTGTCTTTTTTTTTTCATTTTGGTCTTTTAAAAATTAATTCTTTGAGGATTTCATACAGCATATCCTTATATTCTTTTTCATCCTCTCAGCAGTTCTGTTTCGAGAGAGATAGGAAATGGGTGAGAGAATGTTGGACGTGGGGAGGGCAAGGAAGGTCTTTCTGGAAAACTGTCAGAATTGGCCGCGCTCCTTAGTACTCACTCTAAAATAGGGTAAACCCTCAACAGACACCCAGGGATCCCATGGGGAAACGCATTATTCTTGGAGATGGACTTGACCACACCTAGGGTTTCTCTTTTTTTTCATTTGAATATGAGTTTCTTAAACCCTCCATTGAATGTTCTTTTCAAATGAGAAGTAAACTTTTAAATTCTCTGCCATCTGCTTTTCCAAGAGTGGAACTATAAGGTTGTTTCTTCAAATGTATTCTACAGAGTATTATTAGTATTTTAATTACATATATATATATATATATAGAGAGAGAGAGAGAGAGAGAGACAGAGACAGAGACAGACAGACGGGTTTTTTTGGTAGCCTTGACTGACCTAGAACTAGCTCTGTATACCAGGCTAGCCTTGATCTCACAGAGGTCCGTCTGCCTCTGCCTCCCGAGTGCTGGGATTAAAGCCGTGTGCCACCACTGCCTGGTAGAAATATGTTTTTCCTAAGGAAACACTTCAGAAAGCACCATACAAACCACTGAAGTTCGTTTTTCACCAGTGGTCTTCATGGTGCATCTCCGAGTGGATATGTTGCTACATGTGACATCCATTCAATTTGAATACACTTTTCCTGGTAGATAGTTTTCCTTGTGCCATTTCTGTAAAATACAGCTTGGAATATGCCAGATGAGATGAGAAAGTTCAATCATTTTATTCTTTTTTTTTGTATTGTGACAGGAGGTGAAAGGATGGAATGTCGCGATTGCCACCTTGTGGGTCCTGAAGGCTAAGGGTGTCTAGCAGAGTCTAATGCGCTGTCTGTTCTGAATGTCTCTCTGTCTTCTCCACACAGCTCCCCTTTGAACTGGAGATTTACTACATTCAGCATGTTATGCTCTATGTGGTCCCCATCTACCTGCTTTGGAAAGGAGGTAAGACCAGCATAGCACACGCCTCTGGACTCTCCACGCCTTTCCTTTCTCTCTGTCTGGAGGGGTTACATTCTTTTGGGTGCCTACTAAGATCTTGGGTGCTGCTTGGCTGAGTGTCTACAGCATGCTTAATGTCGGCCACCAGGCGCTGGGGCATGAAAGAGGCCTGTAAAGAGTCTGGGCACTGTTCAGAATCATCCCTAGTCTTTGAGCATGGTACCACTGACTGCCTGTCACAGAACCTCGGTGTTGGGTTCTTGGTGGTGGCCTGGGATGTGCATGGAACCCAGCACACTGTGTCATTCTTATGCTTCTGCCTCCCCCTGTGCCATTGTGCACCTCAGATTAGGAGAGAAAGAAGGTACTCCATCTTCTCAAGAAAGAGACTGCAATCTTGCTCTTTGAGTCCATCATCTCAGAACCAGAAAAGCTACGGAAAGGGGCTAAACATACACAGACTAAGAGATTATGGGATTGAAGACGTGCACAGAATAGGAGATTAGCAGATTGAAAGATGTGCACAGAAAAGGAGATTAGGGGATTGAAGATGTGCACAGAAAAGAAGACTATGAGATTCTAGTCTGTGCACAGAATAGATTATGGGATTGAAACTGCACAGAATAGGAGATTATGGGATTGAAGAATGCACAGAATAGGAGATTAAAGGATTTAAGATGTGCACAAAATGGGAAGAGATTATGGGATTGAAACCGTGCCCAGAATAGGAGATTATGGGATTGAAGACACGCACAGAATAGGAGATTGTGGGATTGAAGACTTCACAGAATAGGAAATTAAGTGATTGAAGATGTGCACAGGATAGGGTATTATGGGATTGAAGAAAGCATAGCATATGCGATTATGGGATTGAAGAAAGCATAGCATATGTGATTATGGGATTGAAGACTACAGAGAAGAGATTAGGGAATTGAAGAAGTGCACAGAGAATATTAAGAGACTGAAGCCATGCACAGAATAGGATATTATGGGATTGAAGACGTGCACAGAATAGGAGATTATGGGATTGAACACGTGCAGGGAATATATTATGGGATTGAAGACATGCAGAGATTAGGAGATAAAGGCTTAAAGACTGCAAATAATAGGAAATAATGGGATTGAAGATGTGCACAGAATAAAAGATTAGGGGATTGAAGACATGTAGAAAATAGGAAAGTATTATGGGATTGGAAATGTGCCCAGAATAAGAGATTATGGGATTCAAGACTGCACAGAATAGGAGTTTAGGAGATTGAAGGCATAATCTGTACAGAATAGGAGATTATTGGATAGAAGTACAAAGACTAGGAGATTATGGGATTGAAGAAATGCACAGAATAGGAGATTATGGAATTGAAGACGTGCACAGAATAGATTAGGAGATTGAAGACATGCACATAATAGGAGATTATGGGACTGATACATCCACAAAATAGAAGATCAGGGGATTGGAGAAGTGCACATAATAGGAGATTATGGGATTGAAGATGTGAACAGAATAGGAGATTATGGGATTAAAGACATGAAAAGAATAGATTAGGGGATTGAAGGCATGCACAGAATAAAAAATTATGGGATTGAAGGTGTTCACAGAATAAAAGATTATGGGATTTAAGATGTGCATAGAATAAAATATTATGGGAGTGAAGATGTGCACAGAATAGATTACAGTATTAAAGATGTGCACATAATAGGAGATTAGGGGATTGAAGACATGCATAGAAAAGGAGATTATGGGATTGAAGACTTGCACAGAATAGGAGATTATTGGATTGAAGACATACATAGAATAGATTAGGGAATTGAAGACGTACACAGAACAGGAGATTATAGGATTGAAGTCTTGCTTAGAATAGGAGATTAGGGGATTGAAGACGTACACAGAAGAGAAGATTATGGGATTGAAGACTTTCATAGAATAGGAGATTAGCGGATTGAAGATGTGCACAAATTAGATTAGGGGACTGAAGACATACAAATAATAGAAAATTATGGGCTTGAAGACTGCACAGAATAGGAGATTATATGATTGAAGAAGTGCACAGAATAGATTAGGAGATTGAAGATGTGCACAGAATAGGAGATTATGGGACTAAAGATGTGCACAGAAGAGATTATGGGATTGAAGGTGTTCACAGAAGAGAAGATTATGGGATTGAAGACATGAGAGGATAGTAGGTTAGGGGATTGAAGAGGTGCACAGAGTAGATTATGGGATTAAATATGTGCAGAGAATAGAGGTTTGAAGACATGCACAGAATAGATTATGGTCCTGAAATCATGCACAGAATAGATTAGGGGTTTGAAGACATGCACAGAATAAGAAATTAGGGGATTGAAGACATGCACAGAATAGGAGATTATGGGATTGAAGAGATGCACATAATCAGAGACTAGGTGATTGAAGGCATGAACATAATAAAATATTATGGGATTGAAGAAGTGGACAAAATAGGAGATTAGGGGATCAAAGATGTGCACAGCATAGATCAGAGGATTGAAGACATGCACAGAATAGGAGATTATGGGACTGATGTATTGAACAGAATAGGATATTAGGAGATTGAAGGCATGCTCAGACTATGAGATTAGGGGATTGAAGATGTGTGCATAATGGGAGAATATGGGATTGAAGATATGCACAGAATAAATATTATGGGACTGAAGACGTGCACAGAATAGGAGATTATGGGTTTGAAGTTGTGCTCAGAGTAGCAGTTTATCAGATTGAAGATGTACACACAATAGGAGATTTGGGGATTGAAAACGTGCACAAAATAGAAGATTAGGTGATTGAAGACATGCACAGAAGAGGAGATTAGGGGATTCAAGACATGTACGTAATAGATTATGGGAATTGAAGACATGCACAGAATAAATTATTATGAAATAGCAGACATGCACAGAATAAGAAATTAGGGGATTGAATATGTGCACAGAATAGATTACAGGATTGAAGGCATGCACAGAATATGAGATTATGGGATTGAAAACGTGCACAGAATAGTAGGTTAGGTGATTGAAGACATGAACAGGAGATTATGGTATTGAAGGCATACACAGAATGGATATTAAGGGATTGAAGACGTGCACACAATAGGAAATAAGGTGACTGAAGACTTTCACAGAATAGTAGGAGATTATGGGATTAAAGACACGCACATAATAGATTATGGGATTGAAGAATTGCACAGATTAGGAGATTAGGGGATTGAAGACAAACACAGATTAGATTAGGGGAATTAAGTCCTGCAAAGAATAGGAGATTATGGGCTTGAAGTCTGCAAAGAATAAGAGATTATGCGATTGCAGACGTGCACAGAATAGGAGATTAGGGGCTCGAAGAAGTGCACAAGATAAGAGGTTATGGGATTGAAGATGTGCACAGAATAGGAAATTATGGGATTAAAGGTGTTCACAGAAGAGCAGATTATGGGATTGAAGACATGCAAAGATAGGAGGTTAGGGAATTGAAGAGATACTCAGAATAGGAGATTAGGGCATTGAAGACGTGCACAAAATTGATTATGTGAATGAATATGTGCTCAGAATAGATTAGGGGTTTTAAGACATGACTAGAATAGGAGATTATGGGATTGAAGATGTGCACAGAATAGGAGATTAAAAGATTGAAAACATGCACAGAATAGGAGATTATGGGATTGATGTATTGAACAGAATATAAGATTGGAAGATTGTAGACGTGTACTATATTGGAGATTAGGGGATTGAAGACGTATACATAATAGGAGATTATGGGATTGAAGATGGGCACAGAATAAAATATTACAGGACTGAAGACATGCACATAATAGGAAATTAGAGGATTGAATATGTGTACAGTATAGATTAGAGGAGTGAAGATATGTACATAATAGGAGATTATGGGAATGAAAACATGCACAGAATAGGAGATTAGGGGATTAAAGACATACAAAGAATATATTATTGAAGATGTGCACAGAATATGAGGAGATTATGGGATTGAAATTGTGTACAGAATAGGAGAGTTGAAGATTGAAATGTGCAGCGAATAGGGAATTTAAGACGTGCAGAGAATAGGATATTATGGTATTGAAGACATATACAGAATAGGTGTTTAGTGAATTAAAGACTTGCACAAAATAGGAGATAATGGGATCAAAGATGTGCACAGAATATAAGTTTATGGGATTGAAGCTGTGCACAGAAGAGATTAGAGGATTGAAGACGTACACAGAATAGGAGATTATGGGATTAAAAATGTGAGCACCATATTAGATTAGAAAATTGAAGATGTGTGCATAATAGGACATAATGCGATTGGGACTGCACTGAATAGGAGATTATGGGATTGAAGACATACATAGAATAGGAGACTAGGGGATTGATGTTGTACACATATTAAAAGATTATGGGATTGAAGATGTGCACAGAGTAGGAGATGATGGGATTCAAGACATGCACAGTATAAGAAATTATGGGATTGAAAACGTGCACAGAAGAGAAGACTAAGGGATTGAAGGCATGAACAGAATAGAAGATTATAAAATTGAAGACTTTCACATATAGGAGATTATGGGATTGAAGATGTGGACAGAATAATAGATTAGGGGATTTAAGATGTGCACAGAATAGGAAAAGATTATGTGATTGAAAAGGCATATAAAATAGGAGATTAGGTAATTGAAGATGTGTACAAAATAGGAGATTATGGGTAGAGAATGCACAGAATAGGAGATTATGTAATTGAAGATTGCACAGATTAGATTAGGGGATATAAGGCATGAACAGAATAAAAGATTATGGGATTGAAGACATGCACAGAATAGGAGATTAGCAGATCTAAGATGTGCACAAAATATGAGATTATGGGATTGTGAACATGCACAGAATAGGAGATAATGAGATTGAAGACGTGCACAGAATAGATTAGGGGATTGAAGACATGCACAGATTGGATTAGAGGACTGAAGACGTGCAAAGAATATGAGATAACGGGTTTAAGACAGCACAGAATT